TCTCAGAAAATTTCTAGATTTTCAAAACTCCAAAATGTTTGAAGCAGCTGTCTCTGAATCAAAAAACATGTAGCATTCTGCCATCTGCTGTTCGTGTTGAAAAAGACAACCATCTTCATGCCAACAAAAGTGTCCCCACCCTTTTCTACACAGGAAACTCCCTAGTTCCCAGGCATCTTCTTCAACTTACACTTTAGATGCCTCTAAAATCCTCTCTGCTGTGAGAATAAAGGCAAAGGCCTGGAGCTTCAGGAAGGCACAAGCCCAGGACAGGCTGTTGCAATGCCAACAGCTTGGTCTGATTCTGTGATGACCTCAGGCCAAGTCACTTGTCCCTGCCAACCTGTTTCCTCATCCCTGAGTCAGACTGCTGTTCCAAGCCAGTGCTAATCAGCTGAGGTCTAGAATCCCGGAGACTTGGTACCTATCTATGCTTCATTTTGTTGGAAACCACAGATAATCTATAACAGTATAGCATCTATGGGGTTCCTAATCATGTTGCCTCTTTCAACTCTGATATTGCTGATTTGACTCCTCCGTTTAATCATTTAAGCATAAAGTTTAAGAATTTTATTGGCCTTTTCAAAAAAAAATCAATATTTTTACAATGACTGCTTCTTTCAGTTGTATGTTTTCTATCTCACTGAATGTCTTTCTCGTATTTATTATTTCCTTATTTCTTACTTCTTTGGGTTTAGTTTCCTCTTCTTTTTCCAGTTCCTTAAGGTTCACATGAACACCATTGATTGCAGGCATTTTTTCAGGTCTGTATAAACATCTGAAACTGCAAATTTCATCGATTTGCATCCTCTAAAAATGTACTTGTTTTTTTTCATTTCCATTCAATTAATAATATTTTCTGATATCCCATGGGATTTATTATTTGATTCATATGTTAATATGATGTATAATGACTTCATTTTCAATATTTGGAGAATTCCCAGATATCTTTTGTTAACGATTTCTATTTTCATTCTGCTAGGATCAAAGAACCTGCTCTGTATGTTAAAACTTTTAAAAGGTATTTACACTTGTTTTATACACCAGTGTGTGGTCTATACTTCATGTGTAATGTAAAAACCTTATAACCATGTACTCATGTATGATTTGGGTGCTATGTGCTGTTGCTGTTGTACGTTTATTTTTACAAATGTTATAGTCCCACAATGCATTGTTTTTGCATTCACATAGTTATATTTTTAAATATTTAAAATGAGAAAACATTAACATCTACCAAATTTATCATTTCTGGTACACTTCATTCATCCATGTGCATTAATTTGCCAACAATAATCATTTAACTTCCATGCTGGGGAATTTTTTTCAACTTTTGCATGCACATCTGCTGATGACAAACTTTTGCAGGTTTCCTTTAAAAGTCTTTATTTCGCCTCATTTTGAAAGGTGATCTTACAGAGTATAAAATGTAAGGTCATTGAATTTCTTTTTGTTTTCTTTACAGATTTAGAATAATTTTCTGGCTTGAATAGTTTCTAATAAGATGCCTGTTTTAATTCCTATCTTTGTTCTTCTGTATGTAATATGTCTTACTTTCTCCAGCTATATACAATATTTTGCTGTTTTCATCTTGTGTATAAGACGCTCTAGTGAGGTTCTGGTTTTATCCCTAATAAGTTTGCTGAGCTTCTCAAATCTGTGCTAATAATTGTCATCAAATTGGAAAGTTTGAGCTATTGTTCCTTTAGATATATTTCCCATCTTCCATGGGACTCCAATACATATATTTACCACTCTGTATTGTCACAAAACTCACTGATAAAATACTTTTTAAGACCTTGGTGCTGCAAAACCTGAGCTGAACTAATACGAGGCAGCTTTGTCTTCTAGTGGGAGTAATCCAGTTTCACTCAGAAAGAATGAGTTTAATTACGGGCTGCTGCCAGCCTCTCCTGAGATACTATATAATATGTGGCATATGTGCCTACTTTCATTGCTAAAATTGGAAAAAGTGTGAAATCAAAACACATTTGGTGCTAAGGTTTTCAGATAAAATTGGAAAACTGGTATTCCTGGTTCTGTTATTTTCCCTAAAAACAACCATTAAAGTTCACAAAGCAAGTTCCCAAGAATTTTTAAAAGGAGACTAATTATGGTACAGTTTTGTTGAAATATGGGATAGGTATTACATGAACATGAAAAATAGAATGGAATCTACAAGTAATCTAAAATTTACAGTATAGTAAAATACCAGTCCAAAGAGACTAGGAAACATTTGATAATTGATTTGAATTCTCTCCAATCTGACATTCATTTCCCCAATTATATGTGGGCTTTGAACTGATTTGGTATTTGGACTCCATGATAGAAACACTGAGACCTCTCTTCATCTCACATTTGGCTGCCTGGACAGTTGGCTAGGCTTTATATGTCCAGCTGGATCTCTGTCCATCTGTTGAAGAGTTGTCTGTCTGGCTTCTTAAAGGTCTGGCTAGTGGCTGGCCAGCCCTAGGTGAGGCTGTATGATTTACACATTCCCAGTGTTGATCATGCTTTAAAAATATAATTTTAATATCTCTATTAGATATAATTTAATGTAACAGATATATAACACAATAATTTATAATATATGCTAATTATAAGATATTGTGTGGAATACTAATTTCAAATTTTTAGAATTAGTCTATATATAATCATAATCATCTTATAATTACAATATTCATAACAATGATATTTAATGATATAACATTTACATGACCTAACATTATCAGATGCTATTTTAGGTTCAACATTGAGTAATTTAATACTCCAAGACATCCCAGTAAGTCAGGAATTACCATTAACATCTTTACTACATTGGTGAGGAAAGCCAGGTTCTCAAGAGTCTTAATTAATGGGTCTGAGGTCACAAAACCCGTGAATGCTGGGCACTGAAATTTTTCACCTGGATCTAGAGGGCACACTACTCACCAAGCTAACAAGTTCAAGATCATAATAGCCATGTTATGGTAGTTATCTTTTATTATTATATTATATATTCATGTGCTTGTCATACTCTAAAGTTTTTGTTGATTATACAACTTATTAAATGTTTAAAGTATACATTTGTATATTTAAATTCATTATGTGTTATCAATCTCTATTTATAAAGAATATTACCATTTGCTCTTACATACTTATTATATTTTTGTTTCTATAAAATATATAAATTTTCTTATTAGAGGAGTTATTTATTTTATTGTACTTTTAAAGAGTTTATTACACATTGTGTATTTCTAAATTTATTAGGTCAATATATCTCATACATACATAAACTTATATATTGCTTATATTAAAGTACTGTCTATATTTCTTACTACTTATCTATTGCCTGGTGTATACAAGTTTTATGATGCCATATTATTGGCATTCGTTGTCCTAAATATAATGTAGTTAATTATAACTGTACTAAAGTCTTTCGCTTAGCAATTGCTGAAAGTAGGCTAAGAGCACCTTCACTCCAGGATAAGCAATCATTAGACGGAGAGGTCAACAATGTCATGTCACTGTTTCACCAGTAGGGAAGCTGAGGTCCAGGGCACTTAGGGTAACACGTCCAGGGAGCTTCAGTTTGGAAGCGGCCTCAGAGCCTTTCGAATCCTAGGTTTCCACGTTTCTCCGTTTCTCGGTGGTCCCTTTTCCACACCTTCTCTATCACTTCCTCCCAAACTTATCACAGGAAGTGACCACCTACTCGCCAGGCCTAGGACCAGCCCCAGGTGAGTGCCTGCCTGCCTGCCCTCCTGCAGCACAGCCTCGAGGTGGATCAGGGCCAGGAGGATTCTTCCTGGCAGGCCCTCCTGGGAGGGAATCCTGAGGGAAGATGGAGCTGGGGGCTTCGTTTCGCAGAGCTCGGGGTTGGGTGCCACTCACCTGGCTAGAGGGACGCCAGAAAACAAAAGCTAGTAATTTGGCGGGCGACAAAGAGATGCAGAGATACGGATTAAAGAGTCACCCAGAGAAGTGGCACGAGGTGTCCCAGGGAGAGACATAGAGACCCAAAGCAAGCGAGACCCACGCCTAAAGCAGGCGCGTCTGCATCCACCCTCAAAATGCAAACACCGAAAATTTTTGAATTGGTTCGTCTTGTCCTGGACGCCTGGGTCCCCCGCAGCCTTCGGGATGCGACTCTTGGTAATTCCCAGGATGAAGTCGCATCCTACCTCGGTCTCCACTAAACTAGTGTGGATTCTCTAGGGGCGGGTCCCATCCGAGGCACCGCCCCCGTCCAGCCGACCAATAGAGGCGCGTAGAGACGGGCGCGGCACGGTCCCCAGCCAACGAGGAGGCAGACGCCCCTTGAGGCCACGCCCACAAAACGCCCCCTTTAGGTCTGGGCGCCTAATCTGCTCGGCTCCGCGTGCGGCTCCTGTCTTCACCAGTGTGGTAAGCACCCACTTTTGCGGGTCTGAACGAGTCCTGCGCTTTGCTTTCGCAACCCCATTCTCTGGAACCACGAGAATGTTTGTGAGTTGCAGACGGAGGCCGCTGAAGCCCTGGATTGGCTAATGACAGAGATACTGGAGGGTCCGAGTCCTAAAGGCTGATCTGACTGCGCGCAGCACTCCGATTAGAAGCGGCGAATGYCCATCAAGCATCCATGCCCTGCCACTCCCTTTCTGGAAGGACAGAAATTGAAGTTTCCTGAATTCTGAGAGAACACGTTGGTTGGTCCGGCACTGTATCCTAATGGAGACCGTGGATTGGGTCTTAGGAGATGCAAAATACGAGTAAAGAGAGAAACCGGCAGGAGCCTCCCGTTACGTTCAGAGACGTCAGTCAAGGGATAGGCGAGTACAAACGCCAGTCAACACAGTTCTTGTGAGGGTACCACCCGAACCGGGCGGAAGGGAGAGAAAGAACTCTTTTCGATTGGGCCACAAGGCAGGGAGTCCCGCCCTCTGTGCTCCACGATTGGTTAAGCTCAAGCCGTGCCCCTCACGTCGGCAGCCAACAGTTTGACAAGTGGGCAGCTCTTGCCCCACTTGCCGCTTCCGCCGGGTTAGTGGGAAGGAGTCCGAAAGGGGCTCACTGGGTTCCTGACCAAGTCCGACGTAGATCCGGGAGACGCGCGCTCTCTGAACGGTGAGGGAACGCTAATCGGCGGCGAGAAAGAGGCCCCACGGGGAAAGAATGAAGTTCTGCAATCGGAAGCGTCTTCCGTGAGGCGTGGCTTCCGGAAGTGTGGCGAACCCTCAGCAGCACCCGGAAGTGTGATGCTGCTGCTGCTCCGGGAAGTGTCGGTGTCCGGCGGSGGAGATTCAGGGTTGAAACAGGTGTTTACGCATCTTTGTTTCCTACCGCCCAGCAGTCTCCCTCTATGGAAAGTGTTGGAGGGTGCAAGTATTTGGTCCTGGTTTGAATGTCTGTCTCATCCTGTTGGAAACACGGGAAACAAGTGCTCGGGATGTGTGCAGGGGGCCTGGCTCTGTAAAAGATTCTAAGTTTCCTTTGCTGCCCGTCACCCTTGATTCCCCTCCCCTCCAGGGATGTGCAGATGGAGGCCGGAGGGGACACTGCTGCCCCATCCCCCGGGGCCGAGGAAGGCTTGGAGGACCTGCCGTTCCCCAGTGAAGAGACTGGAGACAGTGGAGGGATTCACAAGGCTGTGCCCGATCCCGGAGACGACGGGGACCTGGAGGAAACAGGTGTGCCCTCCCCTCGCTGGGGTCTTGGGAGAACTCCCAAGGGATTGTCATTGTTGGACAGGGGAAGGGAGGATCTTTTGGAGACCTGTGAGGAGTCTTGGGACTCAGGAAAGTAGCCTGAACCATAACCTGTTCAGTAGGAGGGCACAGTTGGCTCACTGGTGTAATTTGACTCATCGAGAAATAACAAGGAAGTTAGTGGGTATCAGCTGACATTCACTGAGTGCTATCCTGTGGGCTGGGGCAGATGCATCCTCTTATGTGAGATAAGGAAGGATGAGAGAAATTTGGGGTATGATGAGGGACTGTCCCAGTTTGTCCAGCAATTTCTCCATTTTAGCATTGGAAGGCCCTTAACCTGAGAAACTTCTCAGTTCTGGGGAAATCAGAATGTATTCAGTGTGCTTTTATGTCATTGAGGATTCAAGAACAGTACAGTTGTGGTCCAAGAGGGTCTTGGGACTTTAGGGTGTTTTGGCCAATGAATTTGTAAAAGAAAGTCAACAGGGTCAAAGGAAAGACTATTTAGAAGCTAAAGATTGGGGGAGGTAGGGTGTTAAGTCATTGCAGTGGGAAAGGGATTAATGAGTGTCTATGGGTACTCAAGAGTATTTATGTCATTGAAGGACCAATAGAAGGTTGTTGAGGGAAGTCTTTAAAGAATCAATGACATCAAGTAATAGTGATGATTAGTAGGGAAGGGGGAGTCAGTGAAATTATGTGGAAAATTGGGATCAATAGGGGGAATATTTTGAAAACAGATGTTAGTGGATGTGTAAAGGTATCATTGAGGAATCAATAGTAGTCATTGAGGAATCTTTTCTCATAGATCACCTTGTAATTAGTTGATGTTAATAGAGTCTTTAGGAAGAAATAGCAGGCATCACTGAGAAAAAAATTGTGGGGTTGTTTAAGACTTAGAAATTATTGGCAGGTAATGGCAATTATTGGGAGGGAGTAGTTGGTATTTGGAGTTTGGGGAGTACTGGCATATGTTACTGAGAGGATATAAATTCACTGGATTTTACGGAAAAAAAAATGCAGAGACGTAGTTGCAACTGGACAATAGTGACTGTCATTGGGTGAATTAGTAGACATCTATGAGAATCAGTGGGTGTGGCAGGGAAACAGTGATTGTGGTATTTAGTGAATGCAAATGATGGGCATGGGGAAGGGCAGAGGAGGTCATGAAAGTCCTATATGTTATTGGAGGTTAACCATGGTCTTTAGTGGAATGCAGGGAGTAGACATGGAGTAAAACAAATTGTGGGTCGGGGCAGCCATTAAAGATGTTAGGGATAATACTGTGGTATTATTGGGCTGTGAGTGGATCTCAATGGAATTAAACAGGAGGGAATGGGGGTTAGTGGGTGTTAATGGCAACTAACCACCAGCAGAATTAATGAATATTACTGGGACTGTAATTGGTTGATCAGGAGAGTTGACAGGGGTCATTAGGAATCAGCGGACATCAGTCAGCAGGCTAGGGGAGTTAGACGGTAGGGAGCATAGGTATTATGGATGGTAATGGTGGCCGTTGAAGGATGAGTAGATACCAAGAAAATAAATAAAGCTTCATAGGAATTAATGGGGGATCGTGTAAAATGAGAATATTAATGATCAGAGACAGTGGGGTGCTCAGAAGACTTGAGAATGGTGGTTGTTGAAAGAAGAGTAACTGGTCTGCAGGGGCATAGAGGGGCCCGTGACAGTGACAGCATATTAGGTTATTCCAGTTGTGGGGGATCACTGGAACCTCCATGCTGGAAGACATCTTTAGGGAGATCCGATCTCTGGGAGTCACTGAGCAGGGGAAGGGCATCAAGGGAGATACTCAGAGGTCTTGGCCTTCAGGGGCTGCTGTGGGACTGGGACTGGTGAGGATTCGGTGGGTTTTGGGGAACCTGGGTTAGTTGGAGTCCACAAGCAGATGACCCACCAGGGGCTTCCTTTCAGGATCCAAGGCCGAGGACCAGTCACCCAGCCTCCTGTCACAACTGCCCCAGTCAGAGGCCCCATCCAGTACCAGTGAGCACTGGAGTCCTGCAGCCTCCGACAGTAGTCCCATTCATGGCCCGGAGAGTGACTCCAGTGGCGGGGACCCCAGTGGCGGGGACCCCAGTGACGAGGACTGGCGCAGCCAGCGGAAGCATGTGTTTGTGCTGAGTGAGGCTGGCAAGCCCATCTACTCACGGTACGGTAGTGTGGAGGCGCTGTCGGCTACAATGGGCGTGATGACAGCCCTCGTGTCCTTCGTGCAGAGTGCTGGAGATTCCATCCGCGCCATCTATGCTGGTGAGCCAGGGGGTGGGAAGCAGGATGGGAGGCAGCCACTGGGAATGTGGCTGGCTGGCTGGAGTCTGTCTGACCAGCCCTGGGCAGATCTGTCTCTGCCTACCTGAGGCTCTGTCCAGACCGGCAGGGTCTGGCTGTCAGAGGTCCATCTCTCAGGCCTGCTGGCTTCTGAGTAACTGATCCGCTGGGCTCTGAGTGATTCAGGAATACCCTCTTGTGGCCTGAGGGCATGGTGTGGGGACTGAGGCTGGGTGTCCTGCCTTCATGCGGCTTCTTGCTCCATTTCATCTCCCACTGCCCACTTGGTGCTGTGTTCTCACCTCCTCATCCCTTGACATCCCATCACATTTCTACAAAGGTCCAATGTTCCCGGCTCATACTTGTCCCAGCAGGTGTCTGCAGAGCAGTGGTGGGGACTTGGGCCTGGTGTTGTGTGCTGGGGTGAGGGGGCAGAAGAGCTCCGCCCCACCCCCAGTCAGTCCTGATACAACTCTACCCCTCGCCCTGTCCCTTCCCTTCCTTCCCCAGAGGACCACAAGCTGGTGTTCCTACAGCAGGGCCCGCTGCTGCTGGTGGCCGTGTCCAGGACTCCTCAGTCAGCAGCGCAGCTGCGGAGGGAGCTCCTGGCTGTGCACGCCCAGATCGTGAGCACTCTGACACGAGCAAGTGTGGCCCGCATCTTTGCACACAAGCAGAACTACGACCTCCGCCGCCTGCTGGCTGGCTCGGAGCGGACTCTGGACCGGCTTTTGGACAGTGTGGAACGGGACCCGGGTGCCCTGCTGCTAGGGGCCGTGCGCTGCGTGCCCCTTGCCCGCCCATTACGGGAAGCCCTGGGTGCCCTGCTGAGGCGCTGCACAGCACCCGGGCTGGCACTGTCAGTGCTGGCAGTTGGGGGCCGGCTGATAACAGCTGCCCAGGAGCGCAATGTGCTGGCTGAGTGCCGACTGGACCCTGCAGACCTGCAGTTGCTGCTGGACTGGGTGGGTGCACCAGCCTTTGCGGCAGGTGAGGCCTGGGCACCTGTATGCCTGCCCCGCTTTAACCCCGATGGTTTCTTCTATGCCTATGTGGCCCGACTGGATGCCATGCCCGTCTGCCTGCTGCTGCTGGGCACCCACCGTGAAGCCTTCCATGCCATGGCCGCCTGCCGGCGCCTGGTGGAAGATGGAATGCGGGCCCTCGGTGCCCTGCGTGCCCTTGGGGAACCTGCCAGCCTCTCTAATGCCCCAGCAGCCAATGCCCCTGCCTACAGTGTGCAGGCTGTGGGGGCACCTGGTCTCCGGCACTTCCTTTATAAGCCACTGGACATCCCTGACCACCACCGCCAGCTGCCCCAGTTTACCAGGTGGGCCCTGACCCTGTGGGTGGTTGGCCGGGTGGGACAGTTTGTCCAACAAGGATGGTCAGCCTAAGAGAGGAGACGGGCCAGCCAAGAAGGCCCTCCACTCACCTTGCCCTCCACCTCCCTCCCCCATGGCAGCCCGGAGCTGGAGGCCCCATACAGCAGAGAGGAGGAGCGGCAGCGGCTGTCGGACCTGTACCACCGCCTGCACGCCCGCCTGCACAGCACCTCCCGACCCCTGCGCCTCATTTACCACGTGGCTGAGAAGGAGACGCTGCTGGCCTGGGTGAGTTGTGAGTGAGCTAATGTCCCACTTGAAGGCTCCTTGCCCTCCAGTGCACTAGACCTTTTCCTGGGCTCTGCCTCTGTCTGTAACACTGTCCCCACCATCACACACATCTCCGAACTGCAGAAGGATTTACCACGGTGTGCAATCCCATGTTAGCCCCACTGTTCTACCTATTGTCCCCCATTAGCAACCAGTCCAGTATCCTGACTTGCAGGAGACCCCATTACCATCACTGAGCCCCCGAGTCCCCACTTTCCACCACTGCAGTTTTGGTTTCTTGAGTCCCCAGCACACCTCAGTCCCATGCTGGGCCCTCTATCTGGTTTCCTTCCCTGGGCTCCTTCCTGCCTCACTTCTTTGGGGAGGCCAGTCAAGGAAACCCCATTGGAAATGGCATGTCCCCCAGGCTCTGACATTTGTTAAATAATTTATTGCAAATCTGTTGTGTATTAGGCATTGTTTTAGGCGGAGGATTTTAATTTTAAATTTTTTTAAAAATTTCATTTTCAAGTAATTTTAGGCATAGTTGGAAGTTGAAGTTGACAAAAATAATACAAAGACGTAACATGAAGAAACCCTTTTCCTAGTGTCACCAAAGATTACCATCTAATAAAGCYACAGTAACTTATCAAAAGCAGGAAGTTAACATTGGTTCAATAACAGTTGATCCATAGACTTGGTTCAGATTCTACCAAGTCTCCCATTGACGTCTTTTTACTGGTCTAGAATCCAGTCTAGGATCATATGTTGAACCTGTTTATTATGTTTCTCTGGTCACATTCTAGAACTGTTCCCAGTCTTTCCTGCCTCATGACCTTAACACTTTTGAAGAAATGTAGCTTGTAAAATGTCCCTCAACTTGGGTTTTTTATCATGAGTAAGTTGAGGCCAAACTTTTTGAGTAAGAATCCCACAGAGGTGATGTGCCCTTTTCTGCATTGTCTTAAGGGATTGTGATGCCGGTTTGTCCCTGTTTTTGTTGATATTGACTTTGATTACCTAGTTAAGAGGGTGTCGCCACATTTATCCATGATAAAGTTAATATTTTCCCCTCTGTAATTAGTAAATATCTGTGGCATTCATGCCAGTGTCTTCTTTTTCATTATAATTTTACCACTAATTTTAATACCCGCTAATGATTCTACTTTGCAGTAGTCATTAGTCTAGTGTTTGCCCAATGGTGCCTTTTCTAACCCCACCACCCTTTCTAGGTTAAAGAAGAACTTTTCTTTGTTCCATTCATTGAAGTTTTAATTATATATTAATATAGTCTCATGAGGTTTTTCTTTAATTTTCAGTGGCTAATCTGTTTTCCTAGCATTTATTTTGGTGCTGAAATTATCTGATTTAGCCAGTGGGACCCCTGATTTAGCTAGGCTGATGCCCGTGTCTCCTGCCATGTCTTGTCTGCTGTGAGCTCTGCTTACTTGACTCTGCACCAGGCCTGGATTCATCCATTTTTCCAAGATTAAAGTGAACATTTATACATTTTAATGGAGATTGGCATTTAAAAACCAAGATAGGGGAGGCCCAGTATTTAAAATCAGGTGGTCAGAGGAGGTCTGCTGAGGAGATGGCCCTCAAGTGGAGAGAAGTAGCAAGCCATGTGGTGTCTGGAGGAAGAGCACACCTAGCAGAGCGAGAGCATTCTTCCAGTTCTTTGCGGTGGGGCTGGGCCTGCCTGTGTTTAAGGAACAGCAAGGAAAGGCCAAGGTGGCTGAGACATGGGACAGATGGAGCCATGCGAGAGCGGTGGAATGACACAGAAAAGGTGCTAGTGATATGGTGGGGTCAGATCTCAGGCTATTGTGCAGATTAGAGTGAGTTCCTCTTTATATCATGCCCAGGCCTTAAATGATGAAAACATAGCAGTGTGGAACTTAAAACAAGACCTGCTAAATAATAATTGCTCACTGAGTATTAAGCACGGTTGTTAATATTATCTCCAGTCCACAGATAAGCAAATCAAGGGCCAGAGAATAAACCACATACCCGCCGAGACAGACAGACAGACACACACACACTCTTACACACACACACACACACACACACACACCAATAGCCAGCATCCCTGTTAAAGCCTCTAGTTCCAGCTGACCCCTAGACCCAACTGAGAACCCTTGACCCACCTATGACATAGTAAGATCAGGTTACCCGCCTTAGCCGAGTGTTCAGGGAGTACCAGGTAGGAATTGTTGCCAGATACTTCTAAGCTACAGGAGGTAAACCTGGGGCTGGGTTTGGGTGGGTAGGATTATCCACGGCCAACTGCGCCTTTGATTCTGTCTCCTTTCAAACCCCCAGGTGACCTCCAAATTTGAGCTCTATACCTGCCTCAGCCCCCTGGTGACAAAGGCAGGTGCCATCTTGGTAGTGACCAAACTTCTGCGCTGGGTGAGGAAAGAAGAGGACCGGCTCTTCATTCGTTACCCACCTAAGTATTCCACACCCCCAGCCACCTCTACGGACCAAGCTCCCCATAATGGCTTATTCACTGGACTCTGAATGGTGGTGCTCCCRGACTGCTGAGAGTGACCATCTTGGGTCTCTGACCTAGAAGTGTGGGTGGATCGGTTGTCTTTGGCTGCTCCCTGTCTCCCTGGGCAGGCAGGCAAGATCCAAGGCCTGCCCACAAATGGGAGACGAGTGACAGCAGCCAGAGATACAGGCTGCTCTTCCAGCCCCTTCATCACTTCCAGCCCYGGGAAAAGGCTCTGCCCACCCTCTGCCTCACCTCCCCCAGCCTCTGTCAGGGGCTGTCCCCTTAAACCTCTTCCTAAATCTGTCTCCTCATTGGACTGTCAGTTCTGAGTGTCCAGGGCAGCCAGGATTTCTGGGGTGGCCCAAAGGAGCTCTAGAACTGGGAATAAAGGGTCAGCCTGTACCTGGAACTGACCTGAAGGGTGTTTTAAAGAGAAAAAAAAAAAAAAAAAAACTGTACGTAAAAGGCTTAAAACCAAGCCCCTAAGGATACTCCTTTGCCCTTCATGTATTTGTGTTCATTTGTACCCTACCAGAAAGTAAGCTGCGTTGGTCTACATTGGCTGCTTCTAATAATTATGAGAAGGTAGCCTCCCTTGAAAAAGAGGACATGTAGTGCCTGGTCTCAGACAGTGGCCAGGATCAGGAATTTTTTGCATAGGAGGTGCCCTTAGTGTCTAAGGCTCGTTGTACTTCTCTATGAAATGGTCATAACTTTGTCTCATAGGCTATTTAATGAAGTTTTGCAACTAGAACGGGATTCAAACTCTTATGGCACATACGTGTTTATCCCAGACTTTGGCAACCTGCCACAACAAAAGCATCCTGAATAGAGACCTCCTTGGTTTGTGTGTGGTTCCCGTCCTCCCCACCCTCCCTCCCTCCCT